GAAAGACAATGTAGGTCAAAATTTCAAAAGTTGTAAAAAATTAGCAAAATTCGACAAAATTGCATCTAAATTTTAAGCTTTTGAATTAGATTGCTTAGAGAAACATTCTGAATATGCAGTTTTGTAACCTATTCAACTCAAAGTGCAAATTTTAAGTGGCTAGGACTTACCGTTAATATTTGGTAAATTGTGTGGAAGGTGTTGCTCATTTTCTCCATACAAAAAATTGTTGAACATACTGTGTTAGAGGTTTATGCCTACAGGCTTTGCGGCGGCGGCGTGGTCAACTTCAAAAATAATCGACTACTACTACTGCCCATAAGAGCCATGAGGCTACTAATCTTATTTATTTATTTATTTATTGACAGTCTTTAAACCTATAAAAAATCTTGTCAATTTCATTATTAACTTATTTAATTTAATTGATTGCTCTTCTAGTAATACTATACATTAACATTTTTCTTATTTTCTTTACTAATTTTTACTTATTTTCAAATACATACTTTATACATTTATACATATTAATTTATTGTACAATTAATTAATTAATTATACGTACATTATAGCCTCGGGTTGGATAGCTGGCGAGGCCTAGTCTCCAGTCTATCTTTATGTTCAGCAGGCGGAAAGGCCTAGTTTCCGCTATGCGTCAATAAAGGCGTTTACCATGGTCGGAAAGGCCGAGTTTCCGATCCATGTTCTTTTCATAATTATGTTGCTGTGAAACGGGCGGAAAGCTCTAGTTTCCGCTCCGTACTACGAACGAGCTGTTGGGCATGGTCGGAAAGGCCGGGTTTCCGATCCATGCTCGTAACGTCTCTCATATGCTAGTATCTTGTTAGAATGGGGAGGCCCAATAGCAATCTTATATGTGTTTTTTGCAATGCTCGTATAATAAACTTTTGAATTTTTGGAAGCCATTGCAGCTTCTCATATCTACGGGCAGTTCGTTAAACATTTTTAAACCTTTATAGTACAAATCTCTCTTTTGATTTTCCGTCTGGCAAAATGGAAGTTTAAAGTTATCCCTGACTCTGGTTTCATAGGTGTGAGTGTGACTGCTGTACCTAAAGTTATCACTCAAGTATTTCGGAAGGGTTCCATTCTTTATATTATAAATAAACTTCATTGTATGGAAAAAGATTAGTTGTTTCACATTTAACCAGTTTAAATTGTTCAGCATTGATGAAATGCTGGTATCGTATCGGGCGTTAAGTATGTGCCTCATAGCTCTATTTTGCATTTTTTGTAGTCTCTCTATATACGACTCAGGTGTTATAAACAGGATAGTGGGGCAGTATATAAAATGTGGCTCAATAATTGATCTGTAAACCATAATTTTATATCTTCTACTTAGATGTTTACATGTCCTTTTCATAAATCCAATTTTTTTCGACGCTTTGTTGACGGTATACTCAATGTTATCATGGAATTTTAATTTATTATCAATTAAAACACCAAGATATTTAATTGTAGTAACCTCTGTAATTTTTTCATCCCTAACATGTAAATCGTGTCGCCCTAATCTAGTTTTATTTGCTGCTAATTATCATGTAATTAGTCTTTTTTACGTTTAACATTAGCTTATTTTTGCATAACCAGACATATAGTGAGTCTAAGTCATTTTGCATTTTATGAGTTGCTGTGTCCAAATCGTCTTCACTTATAGTCAACAGTGCATCATCAGCAAACAGTCTTATCTTACAATAACTGATTGATGATAAAATATCGTTGATGTAGATATTGAAAAGAATTGGTGCTAGTACTGAACCCTGTGGTAGTCCAATATCTACCGGTATATCCTTAGACAATACTTCTCCTATAACTGTGTGTTGCTTTCTATTAGTTAAGAAGCTCTCAAACCACTTCAGTTCTACCTCTTTAATACCAATTTGTTTCAACTTAAAAATCATTAGTTTTCGATCAATGGTTTCAAAAGCTCTTTTCAAGTCAATAAAAACTGCCAGTATTACTTTTTTACTTCTCATGTCTTCTTTCCATTGAGAAATAACCCAGTTAAGTGTCGTTTCACACGAATGTTTAGCTCGAAACCCTGACTGCTCTTTAATTAATATATTTTTATCTTCAATATACTCCATGAGCTGGTTTTTTACCACTGTTTCTAATATTTTCTCCAGATTTGGTAGAGTATTGATCGGTCGAAGTTCTTCAGCTTTAACTGTGTTTTTAATTTTTTTGACTGGAACCACTGTGGAAACTTTCCATTCATCAGGTACGATACCATCTGTTATACTTTTGTTGATCATAATTGAATAAAAATACCCCATGTATATTAAAGAGTCTTTTATTACTCCTTCAGATAATAATTTTTTCCCACCAATTTTATATTTAAATTTCTTGACAATTCGCACTATGTCATCAGTAGTTATTTCGTTAAATTTAAATGTGCTATCGATGTTATAATAGAAGTTATCACTATATTCTATATTTTCAATATTATTATTTATTTCCACTATGCTTTCAACAAAGTAGGTATTTAAGACCTCTGCTATTTGATTTTTATCTTCAATATATTGACCACCATGATGTATTAATGTAATATCTTCTTTTATACCATCATAGCAAACCGTCTGTTTTAAATATTTCCACATTAACTTGCTGTCGGACTGGTTAGTTATAATTTTATTCTCCATATATTTAATTTTTTTCAGTTTTATCATTTTTTTGTATTTTTTTTTAATGCTGTAGTAGTCTGACCATTGGTGTGACGCTTTTGCTAAATTGTATGCCTCTGATTTTCTTTTATTTAGTTGTGTCAGTTCGTAGTCATACCACTTATTCTTTATTTTAATGTTTATTTGTTTCACAAACGTTAATTGTTGCAGACTGTTAAGCAAGCATAGATTTAGGAATGCTACCATTTCCTCTAAATCAAGTCGATCAAATATGGAAAAATCGTAACATCTGAGTAGGTCAATTAAGCTATCACAACTATACCGTTCCCAAGAAACTATTTCTGATACCACTCTGAGAGGGATTTGATTTCCTATATTAATATTAAACATTATTGTTTCATGATCAGATATTTTGTGTCGATAAAGCCTCTTACATGCAATATTTTTCACATTTGAATATAGGAGATCAATCTTTGTCTCAGATGCCTCTGCTATTCGGGATTGAAATCTACAAGTTGGTGCATGGAAATGGAATTAAACAACTCATTTAATTTCACACTGTGTGTCGATACTTTGTTCATATTGATATTGAAATCTCCAACAATTACGTTGTTAGACGTTGTATCACATATGTCCATTACAATTGAATGAAGATAGTTGATAAACTCACTATCACTAGTACTTGGGGAGTGGTATATAACTCCAATTTGCCATTTAACCTCAAGATTTTTTAATTGCACAATAATACACCATATATTTGTATTCATGGATTTATTATATATTACCCTAAATTCCAGCGAGTTTTTAATGTACATAACTACACCTCCGGTGTGCCTACTATGTGAATCACATCTAATTGCTGTAAACGATGTTATACCTATTTCAGCATCCCTAATTTGATCTGTTATGCTAGTTTCGGAACAAAGCACAAGAGCTGGGTCAAATAACTCCACTAGTCTGTCGATTTCAAGTTTATTGTGTATTAAGCTATTAACGTTTAAATATATTACCTTTAAATCTTCTGATTTTTCACTTATAACACTTGCTAGATTTGGTTGCTAGTAACCAGGGTTCGGAAATTCTCACTCACATTCTCTCACGTTCGCGATCGATAATATTCCAAGTCTATTTTTGCATTCTTTTATCGCGAGTGAAAAATGCAAACAAATTTATCATCTCTCACATTCGGAATGCGATCGACAAAAAAATTTTCAATTCGCGATCGAAAAAAGCAAAGAAATTTCCTCTCACTCGAATATGAGAAGTCCGAGCATTGCCGATGTCGGCCTCTCATAAATAAGAAAAACGATGCAAATAATCCATTCGCGATCACTCACAACATCTTATCGCGATAAACTTTTCGCGAAAAATTTTCAACGTTGTATGGGAGATATTTTTCGCGTTTGTTTTGGGTATGCATTTTGTTATGCATACAGCGTACATACATATGTACATATGTATATGTAAGTAATGCAAGCAAATGCTTTTCGGTTGGAAGGAATGTGGGAATATGCACAAATATATGAATTATGGTGGAAACATATATGTATGNTTTTCGGTTGGAAGGAATGTGGGAATATGCACAAATATATGAATTATGGTGGAAACATATATGTATGTATCTACATATATGTACATAAATTACGTACATGCATACGTGTAGTTAAAGTATATTCCAAGCG